TAAAAAAAACATTGAGGAGAAAGGCTATCATCCTAAGCAAGTTTTTAATTGTGATGAAACAGGACTTCTTTGGAAAAAGATGCCCGAGATAACCTACATATACAAAAGTGTGAAACAGGTACCAAGCTTTAAAAGATTCAAAGACAGATTAATACTGGTACTACTGTACTTGGCAATGCAGCTGGACATATGATAAAATCTGGTGTTGTTCACTAAGCGAAGAATCTTTATGCTCTTAAAAACAAAAATAAAAAATATCTGCCCATCTTCTGGCAGCACAGTTCCAAGGCATGGGTCATGACTGTATTATTCACTGAATTGTTTCATCAATGTTTCATTCCTGAAGTGAAGAAATATTTGTAGAAAGAAGGATTACAATTTAAGGCTTATTGTTAATAGATAATGTGGCTGGTCCTCAGTCACTTAGTATTGAAGATGAAAATATTAAAGTACTATTTTTACCACCAAATATGACCTCATTGCTGTAGCCACTTGATCAGTGTCATTAGATTCATCAAAGCATCATGTACTCAACAGGTATTTAATATGATTCAAGCAATGATTAAGGTTGGTTGCCCCTGATGTTGAACTTATGATCTGTTGGAAACCATTTACCATTGCTGATGCAATTGTCTTCAACAAAGGGGCAATGAATGAATTAAAACTATAAATAGTGTGAGGTTCCAGACATGAGTCAAAATAAAAATTAATTATAAGATTAATTAGGAAGAGAAAACTTTTGTTGTTGAATCAGAACAAAGATCGTGCAAGTTATGTAAGATAGAGACAAGAAGAAAGCTGTAGATATCAAGACAAACGTGATGCTAAGATGAACAACATGATAGATCTTAGTAGAATGTTGACCCAGAAAGATGGAACTTTGACAGAATGTTGTATACAAGCAGTCTAAGTTAGAAAATTGGAAAAAGGGGAAAGGTTGACGGTCAAAGGACATTGTGTTAGATCGTTGAAATTCTAAAGTGTCAGAGAAAAGACAATAATGAAGTAAAACATGAGCACAGGTTTCACAGTTTCATCAACATCTCCAGGTAAGAGTCGATGGATGGTTTCAAATAGACTCTCCAAAGCGGACTTTTCTCGCTAGCCAAACAGGTCTCAGTTTTCCACATGGAGACAAGGGAGCAACCAATCGGGAAGCGGGAAAATGATTGTCATCACTCATTTGGATAACAACCAAGTCTCTACAAACTGCCAACTCAAATCTTCCCCATCACCAGATAAACACCCATCATTGCTGCTCCAGAGCCCATCATCCGCCGTCCACCTTTAACCACCAAAGGACTCCTCTTATCTACTGATCATCGCTTTCAAACAAAACCTCAGATACAAACTTTTTGTATATTGTAAGTTCTCTTGAATTGCAATAAACGGTTGTATGTTAGTACTGTCTCCTCCACCACCACCCACATGTGGACAGACTCTAGATCATCATTGATGCAGGATTAACCATTTTCCCCCGAAAGTCAGCAAACTCACAATAGTAACAGCATGCTGGAAGAATTTGAGGATTGATGATTTCTAAGACTTCCCTGAATTGACACAAAAGTAAGAGAGATAATTCAAACAACAAGACAAATTGGTGATGAAGGATTTTTCAATATGATAGAGGAAAAAGTGTTTACAAATGAGAAGTTAGAAGCCCTCATCAAATTGTCTCAAAGAAAGAAGACAATGATGAAGAAGACACTGAACCAGAACCAGCAGTGTGGACATTTGAAAAATTTGGTGAAGTGTTTCAAATGACCTAGGATTTGAAGAAAAAGATGATAGAATATGATTTTATGGTGGAATTCAACATTAAAATTAATAACAGAAAATATTAAATTTAATAACAGAAGCTTTAGAATTTGTTTTATAAGCACAATGTAGCATAATAACGATCACTTGGCATGATTCATTTCTTTATTTCAATTTTCGTTAATACGCGTTTAAATAAAGAAATGAATTGTGCCAAGTGATCGTTATTACACTACATTGCGCTTATAAAACAAATAAAAAATATGACATGGTTTCAAAATATGGAAGGAGAAGCTTTAGAACTTCTTTATAATTTGTTTCGTGAAATGAAAAGACAGATGCAATCACTTTCCATCACAATATTTTATCATAAGGCTAAAAAAGTACAGTATTTGCTATTGACAACCCCTCAGCCATCATCATCATTATCATCTGCTCACATCATCAGCCATTGACATCTTTGTGTATTCTGCCTTCTCCAGCATCTTCAGACATTATTTAAGAAATTGAATAGTTTTAAACAATAATAGCTAGAGCTAATCTATCACCTCAGTTGATTTCTTTACTGTAGTAATGAGATCATTCCAATAACAAACAAAATATGCAAATTGGTTTTTAATAATAAAAAAAATACTTTTAATGTATTTTTAATAATTACTTTTTATTATAGGTTTAAGTGTAGATATATTAAAACAATGCAAAGTACATAATATGTAATATAGTATCTGTTTTTATTTTCCCTTGATTGAATATCTTGTTACATGTATGCATGAATATGGGTTTTATTGATAGTTGACTATTATATGCAGTTTCAGCTATCTGTGATAGGCTTTGAAATGTATCATTCATGGATATGGCAGTCTCACTGTTCTAAGCATTATCATTCATATTCATGTTTGTTTTGTGATGAAATACTTTCTTATAAGTAGGAAATATATAAATATAAACACAAACATATGCACAAGTGTACACACATTTGTACTCACTTACTCAATCACTTATTTTCATTCTTCTACATTTAAATTGTTAAAAATAAACTATAAAATGTATGAAATTTGCATTTCTATTATAAACATTTCAATATAAAAGACTTTTGATGGATTTATAATTATTGTTTATAGATAAATAAGTTTATTTAGATTGTCAAAGTCTAAAAAGATGTAAAACATGGATTTATTTTTAATAAGAGAATATAGATTTTTTTGAGGCAATTTTATTCGTTTCAAAAATTATTCTGTTGTATTTTCATCCATTTTCCTAGTATTAATAGAAAATATAGTTAAGTCATATCTTAAGCATTTAGAATCTTTAGCCATTATATTTTATGTTTAGGATAAAAGAAAACTCCATATAAGAAGAAATTAGTTCAATTTTAACTAAAATATTTCACATTTAAAAGTCACTAAATTAACTTCTCACAATGAATATCTTGTTTAAAGAGGTTTAGATTTTATAGTGTTTTTTTAATTTGTATGTTTTGGGACATACTAATTTCAATAACATTGATTTATTGATAGAATTATCTGTGATTGTAATATGCAGAATCTACTGTATTACTATTCTCCTAAAATTATAATAATTTTGAAATTGTTCTCAGATACATATTTTAATTTCTTTAGATATAAGCTTGAGATTGATCTGTTTCTGGTCTTTCTACAGATCTTCATTGTAATGAATTAAGCTAAAATATATGAGATATTAATGATTTTTATATGCATTAAAGCAAGAAAGTAAGTCTCTTTCTCTTTGACTTTAAACAGATGACTTAATAGCTAATTTGGAGAATGTTTGCAAACTTAAACTATGGAAATAGGATTTGTAATATTAAAATTAATATTAAAGTAAATATTTTAAAATTTGTTAAGGAATTTTTTTAAGATTAAAAATGATTTTTAAATTTAAGTTTTGGATATCAGTGTCTTACAGATTTGATAAAACAGTTTGTCAGATGTGTTTCAAAAAATTGTCTTTTTGAAAAACATTTTTTTTAAAATACATATAAAAAATAATTTGATGTATCATACATTATTTTCTAATAGTAAAGTTAATTATAAGTATTTTTAGTAATAACATAAGGAAATGGAATTAATTTATTTTCTGATATGTTTTTATTGTAAGTCTTTTTATATTTATATCAGATAGATGAAATATTTATATAATATCTGTCATGAGTATCATAAAAATAATAGTTTTTTTTTACAGTTTTTCTATTAGCCAAGAATGAATAAACATAGCTGTATATTTTAACTGAAATGTATTTAAAATTAATATTATTTTAATTATGTTAATCCTGCTTAATTCATTTATTAGACAAAAAGTCAAAATGTTAAATATCATTATTTCTTATGCAAAAATTCTAACTTATTGTGAGCTGGATTCAAACATACCTGAAAATTACTCAACGTTCATATACAATTAAGAAATATAAAAGATTAGGATAGTTTTATAATAAAACACAAGTAAATATAATAAACAATCATGTTAACTAATTAGCTTGCTAAAGAAAACTGAAGTAAGAAAATGAATGCTTTAGGCTAGACAAGTTAATTGATGAGCTTTGGAAAAAGAAAAACTCATATGTAAAAGGAAAATATTGCTAAAACATTTTCAATTTTTTTTTGTCAGAAATTTTTTCCAGACTTCTTTGAGCCATTTTCAATACAAATGTTCAAGTTACTTTCTTGTACATTAAATTATTTAATATTACATAACATAAACACTCGTATTTTAAGATGCTTATTGGTCATGAGAATATTAATTCTTATGCTTTCTCTTATTGACAAGGCAGCAATTAATTTAAATTTTTCTCTCAGCACTAGATAGATGTAAAAATTTGATTACTAGAAACCAATTCAAAATGCAACAGTGATGCAATCAATATTCATTAGAATTTATTTTTTTATCTAAACTTAAATCTGAACATTTATGTAATTTAAAGATATGAATATATTGGGTTCAAAAAAGTGAAAAAATCATTATTTAAACATTTGTAAATTAAGGAATGAGTGCAGTTATCATTAATTTTAATTTCATTTTTGATATCAAAATGTTTTTAAGCAAGAAGTGATGCTGCTGATAATATCTAAAAAATTCATATTTGATTAAACTAATTATATAATGAGTAATTGAAAATAATTATATTGTTTGTGAGGTTATTGCTATCTCTAAATTACTTCAACATTTATTTGATCATAAACTTTAATAAATTTATATATTTTATGCTTATTTACATGGAATTGCAGAAGATTTTGAATCAAAGCTGAAACGATGGTTGGAATTTTTAGGAGCATTTATAGAAAGTGTTTTTATAAGTGCAACAGCAAAATTAAATTCCATTTCCAAAGATTATCGTTTTGTGGCTAGACAGCTATCGTTTGAAAAGAAAAAATTAAAAGAAAAGGTAATGAGTGTTTATAATTCAAGTTTAGTTAAGTTAATTTTGTATGTAAACATGTTGTAATTAACATCTTCAGTAGAATATAATTTAAAAAATTCAAAAATTTTATAAAAATGAATGGTTTTCATTATTTCTCTTCCTCCTTGTGGTCACTAAGTGTGTCTTTTTTCCCAGATCCATTGTAGGTTTAGCCAGACCCACAGTGCGGTTGGCCAAGTGGTGAAGGATGGAAACCCAACATATTCAGGACAGTTTATTCATGAAAAATTTCTAGGATTATTCCAGATTTGATTCCTGGTTCTCCAGTGTCAAGCTGATGCCTTTACCATCTTGGTCATCCAGTAACAAAATGAACATTTAAAAAATAATCATCAATATATAAATATTTTATTGATTTAGTATTCAGATATTTCATTCAATCTTGTCTTATTTTATAGTATATAGAAAATGAAAATATATTTTTTTTGTGTTTCTATAACAGATTTTGTTATATATGAAAACATGAAACCATCCAATGCTCTGTCCATATACACATTTGATAACAATGTTGAGGTTAAACTTGACTAGGAGAGGTTAATAAACACTTACATAACCAAAAATCCATTTTGTGAAACACAGCAGTGGAGAAAACAAATATACATCCCAATACAAACATGTGACATCTGACAGCCAATCAGGCATTTGTTTTATATTTAAAATTATTACATTCCATCATATGTTCTATTCTGTTATATGTTTCTGAATAAGTTCTTTAACTTGAGAATGATTGCTAAAAGCAATTGAAAACATTTGTTTTCTCCACCATTATATTCAGTATCCACCATATTATTCAGTATTTAGTACATTTATTACTTAGGAGAGGTTAATATGTTATATCTGACATAATAACCATATTAGAGATTTAGTTGCCTTGGAGATCTTTAAAGCATGCCAGTTAAATAACTGTATTAACCATAAAGATGAAAAACAAATCTTGTGTGCATCGCAGGCACACTTCAATCTGATCTTAACACCCTACTCCCACTCATTCACAACTTCACACTCCTGACTGGTTCAGTCACATTTATTAACTTTTGAAATTTATCAATTCAAATTTGAATTTTGCAGAATTTTTGTAATCTATTTGAATTTTAACAATATAAATCCAAATTCTGCAGACATTCCTTTTAATACATTCTATTATAGAACTTGTTTACTTGTTTCTTTAAACCTGAGGCAGTTGAAAACATTGTTACTGGAAGGACTTAAGATTTTTGTTGTGTATTTTGTGATACTAATGACATTAAACAATTGTTTTCAGTAGTCAACATTAATATCAAAAATTGAATATTTCTACAATGTCAATCACTATTACAATACTTTTTTAATATTAAATTGTGTTATAAAAAACATTATTTCCTTGTTGTCAATAAGTATATATCTTTTATATATTGAAAATAAATATTAGTTTTAAAATGCTGATGATGAAGAAAGAAAGTGTTATTTTAGATTTATTGCTATGCAGAAAAGATTTTTCAAGTTTTATAAAGATGTTCTTACTGCACACAAAGGAAAGCTGTTTAATGAATTCATAATTGCAATTTAAATTTGGTTTATAATCATCTTATCACATAACCCTCTTGCTTTCAAATTGTCTTTTAAACACAGATAATCCACAGGTTATCTGCTCAAAAATACAATACTTGTTAGTTTTTAGTGTTTTAACTGAGTTTTCCAATTAATTAGCATTATATGGATTTAATTTTGTTATAAATTTTTATATTATACTAAATTGATAAAATTTTGATACTCATAATTTGAACTTTTTACAGTTTCAGCAAGATTTTCAATTGGATGCTGAAAATCTTTCAAATAAAGATGCAGCACTTACTTCAGAACCAATGTAAGTTTTAATGTAATTTTAATAAATTCACTTTAAAACCTTCTTAAAGGATATTATCTCAACATTTAATGAAATTGCAGAAAAATGTTAATAATTTAAAATATAATGAACCATCTAAATGTATAAATATTTTTCCTAATCGAAAAGTTCATGAATTTGGTAACACTCAGATTTGTTGACAATACTATTACACAAATGTATGAATATTGTAGTGACTCCCATAGAGTGAGATCCTCAGGGCATATGAAGAAATTAATGTGAAAGGACCTAAGCATTGGCCAATAATGTGTACACTTAACCAAGAGAGTAAAAATTATTTATTACACAACACGAAGTCCAATGACATACAGTACATAATGTATAGTCATGAAACTATGAGTCATACCAATCTGATCAACCAAATAAGAATGATTTTAGTCTTACAAACTAATGGATCTCCACTTATAAACATCCTCTTTTTCTCAATACAATGCTTATACACGGTAGCCCTGCACGATCCCGCAATGACATATTGGTTCCCACAAAGATGACAATAACATATACATATAATATTGCTAAAATTGCCTTAGTACATTCAAGTTAGTTAGCTTGTCTTCAGAGGCAGCAAAGTTTAAAAATTTGAACATTTACATAAAATTCTAATAGTTAAAAAATTGTAAACTTTAAAGAACTTGCAATACTTGAAAAATTAAACATTAAGATGCAGACCTACATTCTATGATAAAACTCAAAACTCATCTACAAATATACAAAAGATTAAAACATATTAAAGAGCAAAGCAATCAAACAGATAAACCTCAAAATAACATTAACAATAGGTTCCTATATAGTTGTCATGAGCAACCTGCAAGGTTTTAATTTGTAACTCTCAGGACTTTGGTAATATAATTTTATTTTTCTGCTTTCTGTTTCATGCCATTATACAATTCTAATTACATTGATATTTATGACAGAGAACATTCAAACTAATCTTCACCAGTGAAAAGATGAGAATGAAGTATATATTACTAGTTTGCATATCATTAGCATATAGTATCAGTACTAACTATTCCAATACTGGAAGTTATGGAGTATGTTTTTATTCAGAAGATTTAAAGCCTACAATTCCATAAGAAAAAGAATCTAGCAATGAGTTGCATAACTTTCCTGGCTGTTATGAGATTTTATTTAGATAACCTTTATATTATTAATTATAATGAATAAATTACATATGGCACCATCTGTTAGGACAGGGGTTCCCAATTTGTGTTCTACAAAACTCTAAAGTTCTGCCAATAAAAATTTGGGGTTCCATCGAGTCTAGTGATGTATGAATGTACTAATGCAGATTTGGGATATGAGATGTAATTGTTCCAGTTGTGTGATGATACAAGGACTCAATCTGAGACTATACTTGTGCTAAAGTTATTTATAGTTTTATAAACAATGTGGACCAATTTATCAGTAACAGAATAAACTGAAATCATGATAATAATGTGTGACAAGGAAAGCTAGAGAATTATTTAAAAAATCATAACCTTTTAAAGGATTCAACAAAAACTACAAGCCAACCAATGCCGTATGTCATCAGGCTAGATGTTGGCTATAATACTAATAAATTATGAAACAATTTGGTACTAGAGGTAGACATTAGGTGCCATCTCTTAATAAATTTAATAATTATAATTTTTAATTAAATAACTTAAACTACTGGAAGAGGAGTATCGGACCAGAGGTCCAGGTAGCATAATTGGCAATGCATCTGCACAGTAAGCAGGATTGATATTAAGCATCTGCATCAGTAAGCAGAATTTAGACTATTGAAAGAAAAGAATCGGCCCAGGACGATTCTTTTCTTCCAATAGTCTAAATTATTTAAATTATGTGATTAAAAATTATAATTATTAAATTTATTAAGAGATGGCACCTAACATCTCCCTCTAGTACCAAATTGTTTCATAATTTATTAGTATTATAAGTATTATAGCAATATCTAGCTTGATGACATACAGAATTGGTTGGCTTGTAGTTTATAATGGATCTAACATATAAATAAAAGTACAATTCTCAAATCTATATGTATATATTAACAGCAAAATGTTCTGTCACCACTGCACACAAATAACTTAAATTTAAAAATAAATTTGATTCACAATTTCAAAAATTTCAAAACAACTTTTAAATGGTTTTTAAAAACATTGTTTTAATTTTCAATTGATTTGATTTCAATTTTAATTAATTAATTTTGATTATATTTAATGTAGTTTCACTTTCGGTTTTGGTATAAAATGGCTATCTAGTATGCTTTAATTAATTGATATCTGTAAGCTTCCAACATTTTCTATTAAGGTGAAATGGGTTCCTTGATAAAAATAAGTTGGAAACCTCTGTGTTAGGAGATTTTATAATAATTTATAATATATACAATTTTTGTAATAAAATGTCAAAAAGCTTAATTTTGAGAATAGAGACAAATTTTATAAAAAATTGTAAATGCTAATTATGAGTAAAATCTTAAATCCACCCCCTCTCAAGATATGACACTCTTATGTGAGAATCTGGACTTCAACATAGCAACATAAACAATTTAATGTCATAACATCAACTTTGTCAACTATCTGTCAGCTTTCACACCTGAGAGTATATCTCCTTTTAAGTTCTAGGCATCAATAAAGATGCTTTCATGTGACCTTCTGACCTGCTGTCCCAATTTCATCATTTTAATATAATACCAAACAGGCAGTCAGGCAGTCATTGCCAGTCCCTCTAGGATTAAAGATATCAAAATTTTCTTGTGTCAGTGCCAATTGTACTCTATCAGATTTTCATATTATCCTCAACTGTGCCTAGAAGAACTTTGCCGGATTGATCCAGACCTGTCTTGAATGATCCAAATCCAGACAACCTCAAGATTCTATACCTCTGAGTCCTCATATTTCATGAGGACTAATTAACTCCAAATTAAGAATCATCACTATCAACACAGATATTTCCTGACTTGTGAACAATTGTAAACTCTCTCTCTCTCATGACTGCTAGATAGATAGGCTAAGTCAATATAACATAATGTATATTGTATCATGTACTCCTTTTCATTGAAATTAAATGGTTATTTAGTTGTTAACTTTAGTGTCTGAGCACTTTACTTCCATTGGGCTGTGTCTCAGTCTCCATCCAGAACCCAACTGCTTATGCTTGTGGCTGCTTGCATAACCATCTATTAACCAAAACCAAACTCGCCGTCACGGCTTCTATGTCACACGAGACACAGTGGTGGTAGTTCTGTTCTGACAAAACATCAAAGAGGTGCTGACCCTCTGGTCACACTTATTTTATTTCTTCCCACTTCTTCAATCTTTAGCCACCAAAATTTAATACCATCAATGCCCTTATACACAAGTTATCATGCCAAATTTTATATCTTCATTATTAGCCCATTTCGAGATATTAAATGAAATACAACACACGTGCACATATCTATGAAATTTTTTTGATTTTTGGGTTCAAGATATCTCAAAACATTGTGAATTGCAATAAACTCAGACAGTCAAATTTGACACAATTCCGATACTTTCTCTTATTATGTATATATAAAAGCCCATCAAAAGCCTATGAATTCATCTGTGAATTACATTCAGAAAAGTTTGCTCATCACTGCTATATAGCTTCCTCTGTGCATCTTGTAGTCCTTTTGTATAAATATTTCTATGCTTTAGATGCCATTTTCAATTTTCATGAATTAGGAAGAGTTTGTTACCTTGATATTAACTATGTGCTTGTGTTAACCTTTAAAAATCCAAAGCCTCTCCATGTTAGCTATGTTTTCTTTTCTTCTAATTTCTTACAGTATACAGATTCCCTTCCACTCTATAATACTTCCCCTTTAGTCTTCATTCTGTTAATGTAATTTTACTTCATTTTTTTACATCCTATTTGTGTTCTTTAAGTCTAATGCCCAGTGATCTTCAGGTTGCACCTAAGTAAGGTTTTGTTTTTATCCTTATCCTTTAATAGGGATTTCATACACTCTGGCTCAGGCATATTCAGAGAGGGGCTTATGGTTGCTGAAGTAACCCCCCTTCATACTAAAATAATTAGCTTTGTTACTTTTAAATAAATATAACATGACTTTATGACTAAATATAATCACATGACTTCAATTAGGTAAGATTAGCTAACTAAAGTAATTCTAAGGTAATTGAGTAACATTCCCTGAAAAACAAGAGATGTATTTTGATTTTTCTTGAATCTGACTTGAGCAGCATTAATATTCTCAAAATTCTGGATATGCTACTGCTTTGGCTTTTTCTTCTTGTTTTTCATTCTCTCTATCATTTCCTAGACAGTCAAATAGGTTAAATTTTTCTTAATGGCAATATATATTTTTTTTTTTAATCTCTTAAGTAACGTTTTCTTAATGTCCCAGTTCTATTATGTATAACAGAGACAACAGAGGGAAAGTATGGCAATTAGTCAAAAACTCACCCCCCCAAGGTTTTTACATGTTTAGACTCAAAACCTTGAAATGCTGAGAAATGCAAAAAAATTTGAGGTGTTTTTCCTGGTTGTATGGATGTTAGTGTGTGTGTGTGTATATGTGGAAGGAGCATGATTTTGTTCACCCTCTTTGAAACTTAATAACTCCTGTGCTTTCTGTTGAAAATTTCTGAAGTTTTGCAGAGAGGTTTGTGTATTAGGGGGATTGATGCTATTAAATTTTGGTGGTTAAAGGTCAAAGAGGCAGGGAGATAAAGGGAATCATGTGTCATATCTCAAATAGGGTCGGACTTAATGACAATTTTAATTATTATTAGCATTTACAATTTTTTTTATAAAACCCCTCCCTACCTTCAAAATTAAGCTTTTTGGCATTTTATAATAATTAAAAATATAAAAATTTTTTTAAAAATAAAATATCATAACATATGCCACCTTGAAAATTTTAAATGTTGCCAGGAAAATTAAGCGACTAGTTTCTGGATTTTTTTATTTTCGGTTTCAAATATTTACTTTTTATATACAGTGGGTGATCAGTTAACAAACATAATTCATTCTAAGACTTTGTTTGCTATCCAAATTGTTTGTTAATCAATTATCGAATTAGCATAGGTTTTTATTGGAATTTGATTAATTTATTCTGGAAACTCCAAAAAATAAAAAAAAAATATATACTTTCTTACTATATTTATTTATATAAAATAATAAAAATACATATATACACAGTCTTGCATTTGTATTAGTCGTATTTTTCCTGTTTGTAGGGGTTATAGCATTGTAATTGTAGAGATCCCCAAGTCTATTAACCTCAACCTGGTTTGGATGCCATTCTAAGACTGCTGTTCTGACATCCTCCCACTTCTTCGAAAGATCTTTAATAGCAGATATCGGCATTAATCCTCTTTTTCACAAGAAAACATATCTCACCAAGTTTCTTGGTGTTCTTCATTCAAGAGTTCTCGGTGTTCTTCTGTCATCAGATCCATTTCAGGTTCCATTATAAGCTCTTCAATGTTTTTTATTTCTCAGATGTGCTTTTTGTTACTCCTTTAGCTGCTTGAGTCTTCTTGATTATACAATATCTTTCTTAGATAAGATTGAACTGCAGCCTACTGTATACCTGTTCAAGCCATACTTCCCAGCAACATCAGACATCTTCTTCCCACTCTCTACCTTTGCTATTATACTCTCACCTTTTTGAAAATAAAAACCGACGCAAAACTTAACTAGTGCACGCCTGACAGTCTCGCAAATACAAAAGAATTATTTCTGTCAGAAAAATAAAAGACTGGAATTACAAGGGAACGTTTCAAAATTCGGAGGAATACTATCTGATCAGTATGTACCAGGTTGAATGTCGATGTCAACATCTCCCATGCTCTGAAAAGTTTCGAATTGTTGCCTGAAGACAAGGGAAGACCAATCAATATTCATTATTTTACGTTGCTTCTTGTGTTTGTTCTGTGAGGTGTTTGTTGTCCAAACATTAAAATCTTTCACGAAAGTGTTCTTTATCTGATTTGTTCATAGTCGAAACTGTTCGTTAACCAATCACCCACTGTATTCTTATATGTATATATATATATATATATTTTTTGTTTAATTTTAATTAAAATGTATTCTTTAAACAAATGCTATTTCAGATCAAAGGAGAATAACAAATTGGAAATAAAAATCAAACTTCAAAAGGGAAGTCAAGATTTAGCTCAAAGGTATAAATATAAATTATTGTAATGCTGTAGAATATAAACCATGGATTGTAAATTAAAATAAGCATATTTAACTTTAAATCTTTAGTGCATAAATCATTTTTAAAGTTCAAATAAGTATTTTCTAAGAAATGAAATGAATATACATTAAAACAAATTAAAAAGAACTGATTGAGGAAAGGATGTTGATGAATTGAATGTAAAATAAAAATTAAAAGAAATGAAATTGAGGTAAATTAAAATTTGTACAGTTAAAAAATAAAGTTTTAATGATATGTCAGATAAATTCTTCAGTCTTGTCATTTATATCAGAGATGGTAAACCTGTACCAAAGGTATACTTAGGTTTACCATACCTGATATAAGCTATTAAATAAATTTGATAGAACCCACAACTTACAGTGTAAATAAATATGTAAATTTTAACGATTTATTCAAAATAAGTAAAATAAGCTGTTGTTAATTGAATGATAATTATTAACCAAATTTTATCTTGTTGTTGTTTTATATTAAATTATTAAATAACTAATATAATTTATTACAGAGAAATATGTTTTCATTTGTTGTAAATATTATTGTTAAATGCATTATTATAATAATAATAAATCTAGAAAACCCAGAATTATTGTTTTTGATATTTATTGGTACTTGGGGCCACTTGAGTCCATGTTTATCTTGGCAAATATTCTCTGGTCTTTTCTATTAACAATAGTAGTACTCTCTGGTCTCATCTTTTCCATGACTTTGTCTGAAGTCCCTCCTGACTAAGTCTTGCCTCTTGCCATCTAAGGTGAAGTATGCTAGATTGTCTTCTTCCTAAGGGGAAGTAGTCTTAAATCTTCTGTATCTTTATTTTGTTTAGAGCCAAATATTCTTCTTAGAACTGTACTTTTGAAAAATTGTAGTGTTTTCTGATTGTTTTGATAAGGCCCATCCAGAGCCGGCCCTACCATTGTGCGAACGGAGCAGCCGCTCCAGGCGCTAAGTCCTAGGGGGTGCCTCAGTGGTAAAGAAAATTAAAGGGTATAAATTAGGGGCAACCAAGGGGGGCGCCATAATAGGATCTCGCTCCATCCTGAAATTCGCCTTGGGCCGGCACTGGGCCCATCTCTCACACCCATATATAATTGTAGGAACGATTATTGATTTAGTGTCTTATAAAATTTTATATCTTAAGATGCTATTCAGATAGTTGAAGCTTGAGACACTTTCAAAAATGTTGTCACTTATTTTCAGATGTGTTATAGTAATGATTTTATTTTTGTTCAGAATCATATATTTTGTCTTAGTAATAATTTTCAAGATTTCTAGGGTTTTAATAGAATTTATCTTTAATATTTTCAGCTTTATCTTTAGTTTATATATGTAGATTAATTAAGTAGATAGGAATTTGGTAAAGTTTTGTATTTTCAGGGAGTTTTTACCAGTCCAGCATACTTTTTCAAGGGTTCTTAATATCCATCTTGCATTTTTGGAGATCATACCTAAGGTATTTTGGAAAGCCCCAATTCTGTAAAGACTTCTAATGTTTTATGTTTCAAATGTAAAGTCTTTAATCTGTTTCCAAGATCAATTGTCCATAAGAGCAGTTCGAAAATTTTATTGCCTAGATTTGGTTGTTTTTTTGGTATATGAATTATCATTGTCTGTTACATAGTTTGAATGGTAAATTTTCAAAATTTTTCATGGACTTAACCCTATGAATAACTTTCTATTATTAATATTATTATTATTATTATTAATCAAATTTTTTGTAAATTATTATTATTATTAATAATAATAATTTACAAAAAATTTGATTTTTTAATTATTACTATTATTATTATTATAAAAAACTTATTTTAAATTTTGTAGTGTTGAGCTATTAGATGCCTGTGATGCTTTGGACAAAGAGTTTGAGAAAAGTCATTCTACATATGTGCGATTCTTTGTGGCATGTTATTATGCTGCTGTTTCACGTTCAGAAATACTGTGTTATGTAATTATTGTAATTAATCAAATGTCTTCAGCAAGTATCTTATCATTGCCTTTACCTTTAATGGCATTTTTATGGGGAACATTATCTGTTCCAAGGCCTACCAAAACATTTTGGATTACTATTATAACTTATACAGAGGTGTGTAAATTATATCTGTTAGAATTTCTTTAAACCAAAAACTAATTTATATATATTTATTTAAAATTATTTTTATTTCTTTTAGGCCCTTGTAGTGGTAAAGTATTTGTTTCAGTTTAATTTCTTCCCATGGAATTTCCTAACTGTTTCTGGTCCATTCTGGGCACCTCGTATTCTTGGAATAGAAAAAAATGAATTTTATGCTGTATTTGATTTACTACTACTTCTAGTAGTATTTTTCCACAGATTTATGTTAAAAGTAAGACTGATAAAAAATTTTATTATATCAATTAAAATATGTTATGATAATTAAATTCAATTAATTTTTAGAGTTTAGGATTGTGGAAAGATAGTGATAGAAGCTCTACAGATGAAGATGATGATGAAACCCCAGAAAAAACAATAGAAAGTGAAGACACATTGGTAAAAAAAACTTTTCAAAGATATTTTGTATTAAAGATTTAAGTTAAAACATTGAGTAAAATATGTGATAAAGCAAAATCCTTTCTTTTCTCATAATACAATAATTAAAATTAAACACCAGAACACTTGCTGAGCTTACTGCAATTTATGGAAGGAGTGATGGAGGAATTATGTAGATATAAAAACACAAAAACAGTGTATAAAAGAGCACCAAACATATACAGACAGCTAAGGAATGATAAAGATGAAGTAAAAATGCAAGATAAGCCCGGGGTCTATAAAATTCCTTTTGAGAATCGGCAATTGAGAGTGACAAAAGATTATATTGGGGTCACTAGAAGAAGCTTGGCAATATGTTTAAAAGAGCACAAATATGACGTGAATAAAGGAAATAATAACACAGTTTTGGCAGTTATGGCACAAACAGAGGGAGCAAACGTGAAATGGGATGAAGCAAGAATAGTTCAGACTGTCCATTCTCCGACGATTGCACTGGGTATGGAAAAGATAGAAATATATAAGGGTAATGTGAACAATAGTTGCCTAAATGCAAAAGACGCAAATGCTCTCCCAACAGCCTGGAAATATGTAATAGAAAAAGAAATGGGAGTTAAAAACCCATAAAAAGATATGACAGTTATGCTTTAACTAGTTTAATGTATTTTCAATATAGTATTTTATTTTTACATTTTTACATTTGTTTGGTTATATAATATATTAGTAATTTGTTGTTTATTTAATATTTAATGGTTTAATGTAATAATTTTTTAAAAAATGTTCGAAAACTATAAATTTCTCGCGTATTTGAAAGCTTTATGTTCGTTTGTGGAACAATAGTTTCCTGAGGATGGCCTATAAGAATAGGCTGAAAGCATTTGAATATTAAATTGCAGTAAACTCAGCAAGTGTTCTTGTGTTTAATTTTAGTTGTAGTTACAATAATTAAATTTTTCTTGCCAGAAAATCCAGATTTTATTTTATCACATATATCGTTTAGTAAGAAAAATAAGATATTTAAATCAAGTAAAGTATTTTTTCTATTAATTTAGTTGAAAAAGATTCTTCACTTAGAAAAAAATCTGTCTAAACTGACCTTGTAGTTTTATACTAAATTGGTAAAAGTTCTTGGTTTGGTTGACTTTCCTATTACAAAAAAGAGCAGTTTTTTACTCCCAGCAATGTTTGTATAAAGGGCCTTAGTGATTCTCTATTCATTTTGAAACCAATAGTAAATGTTTCTTATGGTGGTACTATTAGTATTTTTTGACATAAGCAGCTTAAATTTTAAACCTTTTTCATTCACACTGCCGCAGTAGACTTGTTTCTTCCATATAACATCTAAATATTTTTAGGAAAATTCACTTAAAGCATTTGCTGATAATTTCTTGCCAAAATTCATTATCTAGGTGTTTTTAGCCCTAGATGATGAATTTTGTAACACTTTTTCCATCATGAAAGCTATCCCTCACTAACTAAGAAGTCTCTGCTGTTGACTCTTATGTAAGTGCACTTTCTTTTTCCTTCAAAATAGATCTACTAAGAAGTGTTCCTCTTTGTACTTTTGCATTAACCATATCTGTAACACGTCATCAGTGACTTCATTCTTGGCTTCTACATAATGTACTTATCTGAGAACACTTTTTCAGATTCTATTTGTATACTGAAGTCTTGAAGTCTAGTATACAGTCGACCCCCCCCTATAACACGGTAGATACGTTCCGTTCTTTATGAATCAATTTTGTACGAGTCCTTGCCAATCACAGCCCGACACGTGTGAAGTTTACGGACTACGGCTGTTTGAAATGTTTTCTTCCATAAAATTAATCGATTCTAGACTAATTTGACTCAACATTTCCAAAATATGTATAATTTTTTTGGGAATAATCCGTATAAACTATGCTATAAATAAAAAATTGTAGGATTACTTACTGAGTGTGCACCGTTCGACGTCAGCATTGCTCAAGCTTGTTTTCGTCACGGAGCAGCGCACCAAACAGCGGGCAATTTCTGATAAGTTATTTTTCTGCGAAAACTTCGTTGAACTTTGGAGACATCATTAATATAAATAATTTTTATGGTTGTTGAATAAGAAATGTTTCTTTCACAAGAAATGTATAAAATTAGACTAGTGCTGTATTAGACTTACGGTACCTAATTTACATACTGTACAGATGATAGTAAACAACTTACTCGCCTAAACTCTTCGTAGCATGGCGCTGGACGGCGGAAAGTATATATATAATTATAATAAAGTTACAATAAATTAAGTTAATATATAATTATATATACAGTACCTAATTTATATATAATTATATGTACAGTACCTAATTTATATATAATACTGTACAGGCGATAGTAAACTCAATTTACCCGCCTAAATTCTCCGTAGCGTGGCGCTGGACGGCGGAAAGTAGTTCGGCTGCCTGATGATGTTTTACCGAATTATAGGAGTTTTTTTTACCAGGTTTGTACGGATACCGTCGCAATTTTTTCGCCATCTTATAGGAATCGTAATTATAGGAACTCGTGTTATAGGGGGGTCTACTGTACTTTTGCTTTCTCCACCAATCATTCACCATACTTTTTCCAACACCATGTTTGTTACATATCAGTTTACAGATTTTCCATTATCAATACATTCCAGTGTTTTCAATTTTGATAAATCACCAAATGATCACCTAAATATCAGGCTATAATAAGGCTAATTAAATGATTGGTATAAAGTAATTTGACACTAGAGGTAGACATTAGGCGCCATCTCTTAAGTAAATTAATAATTACAATTAAATATAAATAAATCAATAAATAAATAAATTTAGAATCTTCTGGAATAAAAGAAAGAAAACTGGCAAGCGCACCACATGGCAAGCGGAGGTTCTGGGTTCAAGCCCTGTCCCAGGCCAGTTCTTTTATTCCAGAAGGTTCTAAATTTATTTAATAATTTATTTATTTAATTATAATTATCAATTTACTTAAGAGATGGCGCCTAACGTCTACCTCTAGTTTCAAATTACTTTATACCAATCATTTAATTACCCTTATTATAGCTCAATATTTAGGCAATCATTTGGTGATTTATTGTATACTACTCGGGCTTTGAAATGTTTTTTCAATTTTGTTTCAACAATAATTAATTATGTTCCCTTTTCACTTGTTCAAGGCTAACATTTTTCAAATTAATAAAATTTGAAAAACAAAACTTAATAACAAAAATATGTAAACACATATTGTGACACACACACACACCCCTTGCTGACTTTTTCAGCAGACCATTGTACAAGTTACAAACATTTTTGACTTTTTTGTGAAGGTATGTATATCACAATAGCTACTTTGGTTCCAGTATCAATAACTCATTTAGTAAACAGAGTTGCTGTGATCCAAATGGCACAGATAGCAAAGACTAACTGAAATGAAAATTTATAGGAATTACAGTGCACTGTACTCATTCCCTAAGTAGACAATGAAAGTTTGATTTGAAGAGAAAATTTCAACAAAAATTTGAGTAGTTAAAGTGAGACCAGATAGGAGGGAGTGTACTATATATAAAATTGAATATTTTTAATAAAAATGTATTAATTATCTTACTGATAAATTTGTTACTTTTGTTGTTAAGTTTGTTTTTTATTTTCATACATATAAATACATGATTTCGTAAATTTATAGGTGGTAGCTTTAGAAGATAAATTAGAAAAACTGGATGATTCTGAAATAAAACCTTTAGTTGATGAAAGAGAGATAGATGTTTCACTAAAGAAAAATGATTCCATAGAAGAGAGAAAGGATATAGGTAAGAAATATTTTAATTTTATGAATTTAAATTATAGTTGTATTTACTTTTTTTGTTGTATTAATTAAGATGATGTACAATAATATGATATATACAACAAAACTTCAATATAGTGCAATCCTAAATAGTACCATTTTCTTAAAGTGTCAATGAATACTTTTGAATGGATCTTTCCCATAAATATTAAGTAGACAATGTTACATACTGTGAAATATTAAATGTACAGTTTTTGCAATTAGTATCACTGTTATCATCAAATCATGACTTACAAACTCTCAAACTCAAATTTGAATGTTAACTTTCTTATTATATTGTAGTAATAAGTGTAAAATGAGAGTTACAAAGATACATTATTAAATAATAATACAGTAGAGCATCGTTTATCCGAAAGCCAGTTATCCGAAACGTCGGTTATCCGAAAGCATTCCAGTCAGCAAATTTAAATTTTCGCTAGTGCTGTGGCGCTGCAATCTTTGGCTACGTCTTGGGCTAATCCAATATTATTTTTTGTTTGTGTACGTGTTTTAGCTGGCAGCACTATCACTTTTGTGTGGTGTTTTTCTGAGGACTGTGTGTCATGCTGAATCGAACGTTTTTAATACTATATTAACTTCTAAAGTATAATTTTTTTTGTTTTTATATTTTTTAATATATTTATTTTGTTTGTAAAAAATAAAAAAATAACTTTTAACGATACAATAGCCACGATTATTATTTTAAAAAGTTTATGTTAGGCTTAACATCGACGAAAATTTAACACGAAGCGACACGCAATGGAAAAATATTTCAACATGGGATAGGTTAATATATTTTTTCGTACATAATTGGTTATCCGAAAAATAAGTTATTCGAACAACCTCAGTCCCCAATTGATTCGGATAAACGACGCTCTACTGTATCTTTATTTCACATAAAGTATAACAGTTCTTTGGAATACCAGCTCTTCTCAGTCCCAGTATACAAGTTGAGAGAATGAGCAGTTATTAACACTACTCTCATGACACCAATAATTATCAAATGTTTCTACAACAAATATAAAACGAACTATAACTAAACGCTTACAGCTAACAACTAACTAAATCTAAGGAAGGACGAAATCAGTAGACGGAAAAGGACAATAGAAGTAAGGATTGGTGAAAGTAGGTATTCAATTGTTGATGGGTGATTTTAGGAGTGATAAAAATTCCAAATCATTTCCTTTCTTGGGGGTGATGGATAAATTCTGGTTTTCATCAAATTCACTTCGATGGTAGTTGGGAGTCTCTATAATTTCTCTTTACTGAATTTGCCTTGATTCTTGCTTAGGCCTCCTTCCATCTCTATTCACTGCCAAAAATGAACTAGAGAGCATTTTTTTTACGTCCAATCTGTTTGACATCCCAGCAAAGAATGAACATTGTTCCCTCAACTTAGCCCTCAGGGCTTCCTTCATCTCTTTTGTTCAAAAGATTAGTCACCACCATCCAAGAAGAAAGTGTTGAGAAAGAATTTTCTGGAAGGGACAAACAATAGAAGAAGGAAAATAGAGGGGAAACTATACAAAAATTAAAGTAAAACCTATATAAAATATGGCATACAGCCACAATATATAGTTCTTATTGTTTTAAACTATTTAGTTTAGTGCAACACTTGATTTAATGTTAGTTTTAGAAATGAAAAAATGGTAGAGCCAAATCAAAGTTTGAATGCATTATATGTGTGTAAGATAGTAAATTTTATTGTATAAAACTCATACTCAAATAAGTATATATTTTTTGTAAACTTGAAAACTAAATGCAATAGTGAGTTACAGACTCAGCATCAATAAAATCCAGCACAAATTTTAATAAATAACAAATGTTTTATACTACATTTAGCAGTCATCATCAGGTTCTTAAGCATTCAAATGGAACCACAATTCAAATGCAATAATTTTAAAAAATTAAAATAGAAATCTGGTTGTCTTTTCATCGTTGGTGCTTTTCATGAAGTAAAAATTATTTACAAGATTTCAAAGTTTGATTTCCATACTAACAGTAAAGTGTCATTGTCTTATGGAGGTGTTTTTTCTATTGGCCTTATAGATTTCTAGTTTTTGTAAAGTTTTGAGATGTGTTTTTTCTCTAATATGATGTATAATATGGGTTATCAAAATGCACCTGTACCAAGTTGTCCAAAGTGAAAGCAGATAAGGTTGTGTCAGTCTGCCTTTTGTATGGATAATTCTTTATGTAATTCAAAATGTATATTCAAAGACCAACTGGTTGCTTAATAAATAGCATTATATATAGTTATATACTGGATATGGTATGCTTGTTTTGCTGTGTTAGGAATAAGAAATATAGGGATACCAGCTATCAGAAGCATAATAAGAAAATTAAAACTTTGATTTTTTATTAAATTAATTTTCACAGCATGAAAATTAAAATATCATACTGCTTGTTTAATGAAAAAAGATAGGTGAAATTATATATAATATATGTAATATGCTATATACCTTGGACTTTAGAAGATATGAAGATGGTAGTGATATATTGTAGTCACAGAACTTTAAAAACACTGAAAATAAGCACACTTTGGATGCCACTAAGTTAATAAAAATTTTAATCACATTAAACGATTTATTCTTTATTATAAATATTAAATATAATGTTTTTTTTTACATAGCGTGTGATGGTAGTACCAAAAAAACAAGCTTTTTTGATGGGTAAGTTATTTTATTTTAACATTAATGAAGAATGTTGTTGATAACTTTAAATTTGCATTTCTTATTTTTTTCTTACCTTAGGATGCTTCGTTATTTTGATCCATTTAAACAATTTTTTAATAATCTGTTATTTCCTTCATGTCGAGTAACAGTTGATGTGTATGCTTATATGTTTTTTTGTGATTTCATAAACTTTTTTATCGTCGTTTTTGGATATTGGGCATTTGGAGTAAGTAGTTTGATCTTAAATATTAAATTAAAATATTAATTTTTATATTGTATTATTTACTTCAATTATTTTTATTTCAGGCTGGAATTAATAAAGGAGTAACTTCTTATTTTGAAGAAAATAATGTAAGATGATGATGATGAATTGAAGAATAAAATAATTGATGTAGTTCAAAAATATTAATTTTTTAACAAATTATTTTTTAACAGGTTCCAGTTTCATTTCTAATAATGCTGTTAGCACAATTTGGTTTAATTGTCGTAGACAGAGCATTATATCTTAGGAAGCATATTTTAGGAAAATTGATCTTCCAAATTTTTCTAGTTTTTCTTGTTCATTTCTGGATGTTCTTTATATTACCTGCTGTCACAGATAAGTAAGTAGGAACTTTTTAGTCTTTTCAATTTAATGAGTCATATTTTCATTTGGTATAAAACTAATATACATGTCTTCTATTTCACTTTTAATAATATACTTTACTTCATACAGCTTAAATTTAATAGCAAAATTTACTATAAGTATTTTGCCAAATATCAGCTGAATTGTTTTATTGTAGTTTCATTGAATTTTTCTTTTATTTCTAATATCTATTTAATAAATTTTTCTAAGAATTTAAAAATTCTTAGAAAAACTAATTTAAATGTTATAACATTAATGTTATAATTTAAATGTTATAACATTAAATTAATTAGAAAACTTTGAATCTGTGATAAAGATTTATTGTAGCTGGATGGATAAAATCCAGCTACAATAAATATACAATTTTTTATGCTTAAACAATACTTACTGTTATTGAATATAACAAGAATTGTTTAAGCATAAAAAATAGTTTGTGTAAAATATATTTAATTTACTTAAGTAATCACAACTAATGGTATACAAGATTAAAACAAATTTATTAAACATTTTTGGAAACTTTTACACATCCATATTGTCCATTTTGCAAGAACAACAAATGAAAAAATGTAAGAACAAGTTTTAAATATAGTAACTAACTGTTTGAGAAACTGAATTATTTACTTTAATCACAGATTTACTAGTAATAAAAATTGCAATAACTCTCTTACTCTGTACCAATCTATTATCTATTATTTATCTTTAATCTGTCTGTTATCAGGTAATTATGATTAATTTTACAAGTTTATAACACAAAATGTTAATTAAAAAATTGTTACAATGAATTTTCATATATAATATTAATTACAGTCGACCCCCCCCATAACAAGGTAGATACGTTCCGGTTTTTATGAATCCATTTTCTATGAGTCCAGCCAATTACAGTTTACGGACTATGGCTGTTTGAAAGGTTTCTTCCGTAAAATTGATCGATTCTAGACTAATTCGACTCAACATTTCCAAAATACGTATAATTTTTTGGGAATAATCCATATAACTATGCTATAAACAAAAATTGTAGGATTACTTACCGAGTGTGCACCATTCGACATCGCCATTGCTTAAGCTTGTTTTTATCGTGGAGCTTGTCATCGAATGACGCTTGTGTGCTTCCTGATAAATTATTTTTTTGCGAAAAATTTGCTGAACTTTGGAGACATCATTAATATAAATGTGGGTAGCCTGAGGTAGGACGAGGTCGTACCTCTTTTTGATAGGCAACAGTTCGGTGAGAACTGCCCACTGGTCAGTGGATGGCTAGTTTATGGGTTTTTTATCCCGTATAGTCAGGATTCTTATTGTCGGGTCGAGTGGAGGAAGTGAGAGGGATCGTCGGTAAAGTGTGAGCAATACTCGAAATAAAGACGACTTTTAAAAACAAAACAACATTTATTGAGATGATAACATAACTAACATAAATACATTGAGCTTATCTCGAGCGGACACGCGGGAGTGGAGGGAAACGCGCCGAGAGAGAGTTTACATTAATGGGTATCATACCTCTACGATTTGGGATCGGACGGTCGGACGTTTTCTAACCGGATCAGACAAGTTGTCTTGAGGAACGACGGCAGCAATGAGGATCGGCACGGGTTTCGGCGATCCTGAACAGTGATGACGGACCGTGTTCTCGGACGGCGACAACGGACCCTTTTTCTCGTCATCGCCCCTCTTTTATCCTCTTCGTCACGTTACTCAGTTTCGTCAATCGCCGATTTTTAGGATAAGTTCCCTGTGAATCATTTTTCGGTTTCCTGAGAGATAGGAAACGGCTCCGTGGGAAGGAAATGTATATATCCTTTATTCGTAAAATTTCAAAAAATGAAGTTTTTCTTTGTTTAACTTTAATAAAGATATTTAATTTAATTTGAGCTTCTTTATTTAATTTTATTTTATTCGGTTTGACCCTCACATAAATATAATTATTATGGACGTTAAATAATAAATGGTTCTTAGTAGGTTCGCTGCTTGTTTAAACTCAACGGTTTGTACAATATCCGCTATTGGTCTAGATTTGACGAATCCTGTCGCGACACGAGTCGGTGATGACGTTTTATTGAATTACAGTAATACCCCGAACTTACGTGACAGGTGGGACCAAGCAATAACCGCGTAAGTAGGGGTATAATTTCGCATATAAATACATACAAATAATTTTTAATTGGGGCTGAAGACTAAAGAAAACAATAATTTAGAAAAAAATGTTTAATAAAATCTTAGATAATACATGTGTAGCCTATAACAAATTATATTATTATACAATTTTTCACATTTACTTGATTATCAC